AGGAGAAGGAGAAGGAGGAGGAGGAGGAGGAGAAGGACTGTAGGGTCCTTGTTGGTCCTTAAGCCTGGTTGTTTTCTTGTAGACGGTTCATTGCCCAAACTAGGTAACATCATCACTGCTAGTGGTTAATAATGCTGAATAAGCAAGCAGCTCTTCTCTTCCAACCATGGAAGAGGTTTAAAGAGGCAAGTCAAAACCCCTTGAAGGACCTTTCCCCACTGTTGAGTTAAAGAGCTCTCCATCCATCCTTGAGCGGGCCAAAAACCTCAACCAAGATGACGCTGGCTGTTCTCGATGCCAATTTCTCATTTTCCTCTATTCTCTCTGCTGCCACTAACTTTAGTTCCTGGGCTTCCCAAGAGAAAAGGGTGGTAAAGCCTAACTGATATGTTACACCCCTTTGAGGTTCCCCTTGCATTCTGCTGGAAAAAAGGAGAAAATAGTTCCTTAACCCCAGAACAGCTCAAGATGCCTGAAGCTTCTCTTACGCATAGAATGAAGTCAACTTCATGGAGATCCAGAAGAAGATAAGATACAGCCAGGGCATCTCTGCATTGTTATGTGCAAGGGGAACATAGTCCAAACAGAAAGTTTTCTGTCTTTGCAAACAAACGATTCAGCTGAAGCACTCCACAAACTTCTTTTAAACTTGAGCTGTGATGCAAACAAGCTCTTGAAAATAAACCATTTCCTAGCATGAAGGTCTAAAGTCTAAACATTCTCTTTGGCTGAGCAGTTGCACATTGTTAAGAAAGAAAGAAAGAAAGAAAGAAGGAAAGAAAGAAAGAAAGAAAGAAAGAAAGAAAGAAGGAAAGAAAGAAAGAAAGGAAGGAAGAAAGAAAGAAAGAAAGAAAGAAAGAAAGAAAGAAAGAAAGAAAGAAAGAAAGAAAGAAAGAAAGAAAGAAAGGAGAACTAAAATGAAGTGCTAGCAAGGAAGTCTCTCTCTTTGTGTATTTCTCTTTTTTGGGGGTGGGATAAGTATGGCGCAAGCACGTGCAATTTCCCCACCTTGATCTACCGGTAGATATGGAGAGAAAATTCCCTGGTCTTAAAAACTGTAAACTTTGCTTGCCATCAACTCACTGGAAGTATGGTTTTTCTCCGTCCCCAGTAACTGGATTATGGGAATTTCCTAAAGTTTGCTTAAAACGCTCTGATTCATCCTATCTTTTACAAGATCTAGAGAATTTTTCTTTCTCAACTCTGTGCTTTAAACTTGCCTTGCATCACACAAAGGAAACCGGCCATTTCTCTTGTAGGATTAATTGCAGAAACACGCGGGTGTGTGTGTGTGGGTGTGGGGGAGTTAAAAATTAATGTTGTAAGGTTGAAATCGAACTGCAGGTACGAAGGGAGACATCAGATCTTCTTTTTCTCCCCACCACCCCATAACTTTCAAAGGATCAAAAAACGATCCCTTCAAATTCCAAGATTCTCTCTCTCTCTCTCTCTCTCTCTCTCTCTCTCTCTCTCTCTGTGTGTGTGTGTGTGTGTGTGTGTGTGTGTGTGTATGTGTGTTGCAGAGTGGATGGAGGCATTTATAGGGATTCATTTCTATTGGCATCCAGGCGTCTGCAGAGGAAGGTCAAAAAAGTCAAAATGGCAGTAATGGCTGCCAGTCAAAGTCATGGTCTTTTTTTTTTTTTTTGCATGCACATTAAAAAAAGGAACATACAGTAGTTGATTTTTTTTTTCCCTCATGGCTTGGGCAGATGAGAGTTGAGTCGGACTTTTCAGTTTTCAGAATGATGAAAAAAGCATTTTTCACAATTTTCACAAAAAAGCATCTAAATCTGTGGGCTTCTTCCCAACTCAACTATCTTTCCATTCAACTCCTACAGCAATTTCAGTCTTGGTTGCTTTGCTTTATCCGCCTAATATTGTCATTGGACCACGAAAGATGATTTTGCCAAGCACACTGGCCGTAAACCTCTGCCCTGCACATATTTTCGCTTGCTTCCACTTGCTCTCCACCCACCTCCAGCAAACACACAGCAACTGAATGTGGAAATAGAGTTTGGGGACTTATTTGGGCTTATTTCTCTTCTCTGTATATTAAAGGGTTAAAAAGAAGAGATTGTGTTCAAACGTAATGCAAGACCAGCCTCAAAGGTTGTGGGGAAATATTGCAGCCTGAACCGTCCTTCCAAAGTTCCAGCCAGCCTCCTTTGCCCTCTGCCAAGTTACTCCATTCCATCTTAAATAACAGAATTCCAGAGTTGGAAGGGACCTTGGAGGTCTTCTACTCCAACCCCCCCTGCTCGAACAGGAAACCCTATACCATTTCAGACAACTAGCTGCCCAGACTCTTCTTAAAAGCTTCCAGTGATGGATCACCCACAACTTCTGAAGGCCAGCCGTTCCACTAATTGTTCTAACAGTTAGGAAATTTCTCCTTAATTCTAGGTTGCTTCTCTCCTCGGTTAGTTGGAGGCCAAGACAAGAAACAATGGTTGGAAACTAATTAAAGAGAGAAGCAACCTAGAATTAAGGCGAAATTTCCTAACTGTGAGGACAATTAACCAGTGGAACAGCTTGCCACAGAAATCATGGACGCTCCATCACTGGAGATTTTTAAGAAGAGCCTAAACAATCACTTATCTGAAATGGTATGGGTTCTCCTGCTTGAGCAGGGGCTGGACTAGAAGACCTCCTAGGTCCCTTCCAGCTCTATTCTATTCTAGTTTCCATCCATTATTTCTTGTCTTGCCTTCTGATGCTTTGGAAAATAGTTTGACCCCCTCGTTTTTGTAGCAGCTCCTCAAATATTGGAGCACTGCTATCAGGTCTCCCTTAGTCCTTTTCTTCCTAAGGCAGAGAGCTAGTTACTCATCTGGCTTCATGCTAAGTCAGGACTAATTATGGAGCGCCTAATCCCA